CAGTCGGAGATAAGGACACTTTCACACTGCCATCTTGGTGTCCAACTTCCCTGACATTTATCATGACATTTCACCTTCTCTGTCCTCTCACTTTGAAAACAGAAAAACAATGTTTAGAAATAGAGATATAACCTTTTCTTTCACAGTATTACTCAAGAAATGCACATATGTTTCCACGAGAAACTGATGGAAATGTGTTTGTTGCGTCTTACACAGAGAGTTGGAATAATTGCAATTTCAATTCCATGAGATCTACATGTATGGATTTAAAAAAAACTAACCAATATTGCCAAAGCTTAAGATCGAGCACATCAATACACATGAAAGTTAAAAGTGTTAAAGCAAGAGAGCAAAAGTCAAGTAAAATGGTCAGATATCCATACTAAATAATCATTTTAAGTGAACATTCAGTGGGAGTGGAGTTGATGTTTTTTTCCCTGTGAACATCTGTACAAGATAATCTAGTATCCTGGGGACTAATTATTGAACCAATTGGCCAAGAACATTTATCTAATCAGTCATCTGCCAATGGAAGGACAAAGGCTCCAACGTGTCGCTGGGACAGATTCAGAGAGGATTTAGAGAAGTAATAATCCCAGAGACATGAAGAACAGCAAAACGTTTCAATCAATTTGAATTCCATATTGAATAATTAACCTAAAATAACCTCTGCTGAAGACATCAAAATCACCTCATATTTGATTAATGCCAACATATTATGAATAACTGCCAGAACTAATAGACACATTCTCTTGACACTGGTGTAAAATAAATGGGTCTAAGAAGGTGTTGGCATTGCGTGAAAAAACCCACAACAACTCCAAAGTAAAGACATTTTGTAATTTGCCCTCCAGAAAGATACGGGATCCTTTTTCCTCTAAGTCTATTTCTAAATCAGTGTTGCAAAGAAATCTTCGGACAATGCAAATTATGAAAGTGTTTACTGTAAAACTCCCTGTATAAAAATACATATTTTAAAACAGATCAAACATCACTTCCCTTTCGACTGTCCCAAAGTCAAAAGGTGCTTTGCTGATTTAATTGTGAATCTGTTTTGCTTAAGATAATAAGAATTGTATGCTTTCTTTTCTTGTTTACTTTGAGGGGATGAGGGGGTCAAGCTACTGTCATGAGAGGATCTGATGAGTTTTGTTGTTGGGTTCTAGACTGTTGAAACAACAACAAACATATTCACTGGAACTTGTCTCTTTTTTTTATTAGATAGAATGATTTATCGATATTTGCAGGAATGTCCCTTTTCTACCATGGTTTGTTTCATTTACCAATATATATTTCCCTGAACTTCAGTAAAGTTTAAGTTTCCTTGACTCCAACAGACATAGTCGTGGCTGATCAGAAAAATACTAGTCTGATGTATGGAGAGTTGTAACCATAACATTTTCCTATAATTTATCTTAACCGTACTTGTTTTGACGAAACAATGCAGACATGATTATAATGTAAATCAGTCCTGATGATAATTGCTAAATCACATTGTTAAGAGGCATGTTTGGTGCTCTAAATGTTCTGTTCCTTCTTTGTGTTTGGCAGAAATACCAACGGGTCGGTGTGGCAGTGTGGGCTGCAGTGATTACTTTTGTGTTTGCAAGTTAGCATTAGCATAATCACGCGCTAACCTTTCATCATCCCGCCCTCCCACTTCCAGCGTCCCAATACGTAACCTGTAACTGCCAATAAAATGCATTTTAAAGTGGAGCTGATTTTCCACCAGGACGCCAATCTCCCAGCAGCATTTTATTTCTATCCACAATGCACCTCTGGAAATAAACAGAGGACATAAACCTAGACACAAAGCTAATCTCCTAGACAGTTTACTGACAATGTATTTCAAGTAGTGTTGTCTAGGAGACAGACTCTCCCCGATTCACATCTCTAATGTCAGGAGATTCGAGGCTGAATGAACCACCAAGGGAAATTACATACTCTCGGGGAGAGAGATGCATCAATTGTGTTGAATACACAAAAGGCCATGTTTTTGCATAATTTCTCGTGGATATGGACTTATCCGTGGCTGCAAAATGCCACAGGTGGCTCCCAATCAGATGTTGCAAAAGTCCATCTGTGTCCCAAACAGCACCTTCCAATTAAATAATTACATTATAGTCCACACAGCACACAGTGCCAAACTGGTGGCACTGTGTGCTGGAACATGTGACTGGAACATGTGGTTCCTATCAACTCTATGATATTTACTTGAAATCTGTACAGCAGATGATTAGTTTGCCCTTCTGTTGGTTAATTCCCAATTTGGGAGGTCTGCCAAACTGATTTCTGGTTCTGGCCTATAGTGATGTGTGATGACAAGTGATACATTGCTCTTATGGGAGAGTGGGATTTTCTTTTTCACCATTAAGGATGTTGTGAAATACGCAGATGATGTGCTGAATCATTCTAGCGGTTGCCAAAAAGAAAGAAATCCCATGGGGACAATAAAGAATATCTAAAAACAAGTAACTTGTTATTTCACTTTGGACTCTGAAACATTGTGACATTGACATTTCTTAAACCCAATCATCATTATTCTATTGATCAAGAAATAACGGAAATAATTGTTGCCATCCTGATTCAAAGGATCATCAAGGTCCACAAAGACAAAGAAAAAATGCATGAAATGTCACTCTACCCTATCCAAGAGATGTCAAGATATTTCACTATAAAATACCAAAATAATTGTAAAAGAACAAAATATTAGGGGAATTTGATTAGGATTCAACCTGTGGGGAATTTCATTATCTATGTAACATTTTTGGCAATCTATCTCATATACGTCAAGATGGTGGATCAGTTATTACTCTGACCTGGTGGTGGAGCTGAGGATCACTGAGGTCATGAGGATTCATCCTATGGGCACCATGAAGGTGTGTGTACACATTTCATCCAACAGTGGATGAGATATTTGACTCGCAATGTAAACCTCGAGAAAACGAAGGGGATCAGCAAAGTCAGTAAGATAAGACCATGCATGTATAGGCCCAGCTCAGAAATAGAGATTGAGATATATATAGAGCTTTTCTACCAGATGTGTTCTTGTTACATGCTATCCTGACTTGTAATCTCCAGGAATCCAAACACAGAGCTACCATTTCATAAACTGAATGCAGACATGTAAATGTGTCAATCTGGTTATGCGAAATGAGTTCACAGGAGGTGAACGTAAATCGGCAGAAAGACACTCCTGCTCCACACATGCTTTGACATTCATTTAAAATGTTGAACATACATACAGTGGAGGAAATAAGTATTTGATCCCCTGCAGATTGAAAAAAATCAGATATTTCCTTTCACATAAGCTTTAAAAAATGCTAAATCAGGAGCTTTGTCAAATATGAGGACATGGAAACTAAAAATGTATTGCAAGGATAAGGACACATTTGTGTCACATGTGAAAAGGCACAGAAACCACTCAAATTGTGTGGTTGTTCTTAATGATCACCTGGCTCTGGCTGGATTGCAAAAATTACTTTCTCCCCCCTGCTCCTGTTCTATTCCTTTGTTGAAATATTTCCTTCAGGACATGCATTGACCATGTAACCATGGTTCTGTTCGTCAATCTTGTATAGCAGCTGTTGCCTTTTTTTTTTTTTCTTCTTCTTCTTTTTTTGCCAAAGAAACTTCCAGTTTCCCTTGGCTACGGTTTTTTGCCCCCCATTGGCACACAGTGTACGATACATGAAAAGCACCAAGTGAAAGAACTGTGCACCTGCGGAGGCAAAAAGTTACCACAACATGTAAGCACGTTAAAAGTTATAAAAGACCTTGTTTTCATAAGGTTATCACAATCCAAGCCAATCCTTCAATTACTTTTTAACTAAATCAACTTTAACCTTGAACAGTTGTTAAGCATAATATACGCATCTGTGGTTATATTTTGATGAATTACAAAAAACATGACTTATGCAACTGTGCCAGACGAGAGCTCTTTGGATCACAACAAGCTGTGAGCAATCACAGTGATAGACTCAAGAGTGCAAAGGATAATCATTGCTTTAAAAACATTAATTAAATCGATTTTAGAGAGATGCATTATGGTTTTCCTTTTTTAGACTACATAACTGGTAGAATAATTAATTACAACAGCTTGCAACCTGGTCCGTAGAGAATTGAGTTATATTCGGAAAACTCATGGGCACTCAGAACTCATTTATTATAATTAAATTACAATACGAAAAGTGATCAAGAAATCTAAAGTTTAAACGTGAAAGCCTTCAACACCTTCATCTGAACATGTAATACTAAGTAGTAAAGTTATCAAATGCATGTAATTGAATTAAAAGGTATGATATTTGCCTCCTCATTGTAGTGCATTTTATAAAATAGCATTAAACTTGAGTAAAGTATAGAAATGTGACTGTACAGTAATTGAGCAAATGTACTAATATTCCACCATTGATTATATAGTTATGCAAGTATGAAAAAATTGTTTACATACAAATATATAGAAAATATGCAATGGAAAGCAGTATCATATGTAGTATTATGCACTATGTGCACACACACAATATTACTTGCTCAATTGCTTTTTAATGACACCTGTCAAGACCACGCATACAACATAATGAATATTAATACGTTTGATAATTTAGGGTAATGAAAAATAAAAACATATTTATCAGATTTATAAGAAAATGATTGGAATATAATCTCTTCATAGGTTTTATTGTGTTAACCTATAATGTTTCATTCATGTTTTATCATCTGGTCGCACCACAGGACTCACTCACTGACTCACTCAAGAACTAACTAGAAAAAGTAATCCCGTTACTGCCACCAGACCAACAGCACCACAGCGAGCTGATGCGCGTCGCTATTGGACGCAGCAGCAGGTTGGACTCCAGCTCCCCGCTGCCTGTTACTCAAACGCAGGCAGAGCGTGTGGCCAGTCGCTCGTGTTTGCGCGCTGGATATGGATCAGGACGCCGCGCGCCTCCCTGCTGTCACCCGCGGACGGGCTGCAATCTGCGGGGCGTAAAGGTGCCCAAATGAATCACCCCCTTCCCGGCTCCTCCGGCGGGCAATGGCTTAAAAGAAGAGACATGAGTGTCTGGACGGAGGAAAGCATCACCTTGTGCCAAAGGGCTCTACAAATCATCACGGATCTTTGTCTCACGGGACACGTAGACCGGGAGAAATGCTCGGATATATTTCCCGTGGAGAGCAACATACCAGGTAAAGGAAACGCAGGTAAATGCAATAAAGTCGTTTTTTCTTTCCCCAATTCCCTCAATTTAGCACTTTAGTTTGTCCCTTCTATACGAGATGCATGCAGTTTAAGGAAAAATAATAACTCAAACATTAGCTTTCACTTGTCTAAACTTTATCAAACCGTTTAGTTGTGTGTATTGTACCGTGTTGCTAAAGTATTTCTCCACCTGTTACGCATCTTGCTGCAGCTCAGTCCAAACTGATGAGAAAGCAACAGGTGGAAAATAGACTGAGGCATATGCAATCCTCTGCATTTCTCCCGTCTTTCTTTCAAGCTTTAACTTTTTAATCTGGGAATTAACTCAATGGCAGTTAGATTAAAGCTGCATGTATAGGCTTCACACTTTGCATTTTAATATGAATCTGAACAGGAAATGTCAGGAGCCGAAGGGAGATTTTTCTCCTGAACATGTGATTCTCTTGATGCTGTGGCTCCTTGCCTGAGGTTTTACATGACTTTATATTGTCCTGCTTTATCAAACAGGTGCACATGCTGCCCCCCCTTTCTTACAGCTGGCTTTCTCTCCTTTTTTCTCTTTCTCCCTTGCATGTTTGTCCGTCATATTTTGTCCCTTGCTTGCTTTCTCTTTTCCTGTTTACGTGTCTCTGTCTTCCTCTATGGGTCCCTCCCTGGTTACATGTAGACATCTCTATTAGTCTCCTTGCTGTGGTCGTGGGTTTCTGTGGCCTCGCCCTGTTGGTAGTCTCTCTCTTTGTCTTTTGGAAGCTGTGCTGGCCCATTTGGAGGAGCAAGACTCTATCAGGTCACGCCGAAAATGGCCTCCATGTGGGTTTCCCCGTGGCGCCTCCACCCCACTCCCCACCGCCCAGCGAGTGCAAGGCGCCAGAGGTGGAGAAGAAGTACCCGCTGGAGAGGGTGAAGGTGAATGGACGGAGCACGGTCAAGCTCCTGGAGGCGGCCATGAAGATCAGCCAGACGTCTCCGGACATCCCCGCCGAGGTGCAGACCGCCTTGAGGGAGAAGCTCAGCAAGCAGGCCAAGTTCCAGAGGCAGACCACCGAGCCAACCTCCTCCTCCAGGTACCTTACATGAACCCATGGGTGTCATTTATGATGGGGAGGCTGGGGCATGTCCCCACCACTTTGTTAAAGTATAATTTCATGAGAATTTGATCATGTATAATCGCGAGAACAGTTGATCTGTTCACACTTGGTGTATTTCTGGGGTTCCATAAAGTACAATTTGGACATGTGTAACATTTGTGCATGTGCTGAACAGAAACTTGAACAAAGTCTTGTCAAAGTTTCTTAAAGTTTAACATGACATGCACCTACGCTGTCATGTGGGGTTTGCGAGATGAAAGAGCTTAACCAGGTGTTCAGTTGCTTAAGGTGTAGCGAGCAAATAGTAGGCCTGCATACATTCGTTTTTTTCCCCCACCAGTGACCTCAATGCATGAACCCACTGATGTAGAAACTCCTTGTAACAACATTTTTTTGTATCTAATGCTGACAAATACAGCGGATTTCTGAACTTGCATTGGTTAACTTCCCCAAACCCATTCAACACAACTGATACAGAATGCAAAGGCTGCTCTGACAGATTGGACAGTGCAGCCAATGTCCTTGAGGTGCTTTGTGTCATGTAGAGCAGCGGCGGCTTTCAAATGACCTTGAAACGCTGGCACATGTTGAATCCTGTGTAGCGCTGTGTGACCAGCAGATAGAAAGACCTCCCACAGGCTCGTCAGCCAGACTCCGTGGTCTATCTTCTTGCTTTATTTCAAACCCTATAATCTCGTTAAACGTGTGTGAGACAAGCTGATGTGGTTGAGGCAGGAAGCAACCACAGTAATTAAACAAGCGGCTCTTGCTCCGCTTTGTTTTCCAGCACTGTGTTTAAACTCAAACGTCCATAATTAGCCGTGCTGTGGGGCGAGCTGTCATGGAGGAATATCGGTTTCTGGTGAGCAGCACTAGGCAGCTGCGCTCAGTTTCTCAGAGGACGCCATTGTCGACAATTGCTTTGGCTTGTCATAAAAGTTGGGATTTGATTAAATATGTAATAACTGTGAGACGTGAGAGCTAGCGCTTCATGAGTTTTACACCCACTAGGGATGCAGATGTAAAGGGTAAAGATTGCAACACCTACAGTATTAATCCATCAAGGTTCCCGTTGGAAGATAAATCCTGATTAACAGTTATTATTTCCTTTCAATGACAGAGTTCCCTACGGATGCTCTTAGCTCGAGTACCAACAGGTTGAAATAAACAAGGTCTTTCCAAATGTGCAATGATGCCGATGATTGGGATGCGACAAACAATATTATAAAAGTTGGTTTATGTTAGAAAGCCGATATCCTCACATTTATGAAACCTGAACCAGCAAATTTGGCATTTGGTTTTTAATAAGATTTAATTAACACTCAATAGTTTTTAATCATCATTTCACCTCTAAAATCATAAACATTCTGCCTTGAAAGTACACAGTGGCAATATGATTAGAATTTTTTTTTTCCTCATAATTTTTGGGCAGAAATAAGTCCTAGCACATTTTTGTTTATCTCCATAACCCGTAGATAAAAAAACACACACACCATTATCTCTTCATCTTATTAACCATTTATTTTTAAACATATTGTGAACAGGTAGCATTATAGTGTTAGTTAAAAAAACGAAATAATGTGAAATAAAGAATGAGATCTTTCTGTAGTTCATGAATGCATTATTGAAAACTGAAACAGAAAGCACTTAAAAGGGTGTATCTCTTGTGTCAATAGTTGACTTGTGTGTATGTTATGGTTTTAAAAGAATTCAAATTAAACAACGCACTACTATACTGTCTCGTTAGTATTCAGTGTGTATAGTTTGTATTTCAAGCTGTTCTTTTCCCTTGGGGTTTTTCTACTGGCTCTTGGACAAAATGCTCCCTTCTATGTTGTTGACAATACTAGATTGGACTAAGTATTCAATTTCCAGCTGTGCTTCTGGTGCCATACTATTTGTGCCCCGGCTGTCAGATCGCTGCCATTGTCTTCCTGTCATAAAGGAGGAGCGCCAGTTGCTAGGTGACAAGATTCGTGAGTCAAACACGGCCTTGTTTTTTTTGTCGTTTCACAGAAATGTCCAGCATTCAGGTCATTTGTATAAGAGCCCAAATGTGAATGCCTGTAATGTTTTTCATTTTATTTTCCAAAACAAGGATGAAGAAAACCTTACGTTTGTTCACTTGATGGAGAAAATAAAGGATGTTGAATTTACTTTGAAGTATGTCAGTTATTAGGGCGTGAGTTTATGGAAATTCAGCCACTTTTAGAAGGCAAAAATCGACAATATTAAACCCCCAGGAAGACTGTTGGGCTTCAAAGGCAATTTTCGTAACGGATTTACAACCTCCATGGCAGTCACACACATTTTTCATTTAGCTTACTTTGGGAAAGAGGCATCCTTAAATCAACGGTAGATAGATTTTCCAGTAGAACAGAAATCCACATCAAACGCTGTATTTATTTCTCTTTACATATCCATGGACAATATGTGTGGATCGTACAGTAGGATTGGAAAGGTTAGTCATTAAAGTTATGACTTGCCAACAGGCTTTAAGCATACTAAACAATATGCCTTTAAATAGTTATTACTGTAAAGTGTTGGGACTACATTTTTCAGCATTTGTTCAGGTAGTATTTATACTTTTCAGCTAGATGTTCATGCCTCTCTCTTAACACCAACATGACCAACCATTTTTGGAGCTCTTCAAGAAAATATGGTCACACATATCATGGGCAGCACGTAATTATGCATGAGGTTTGTCAGATGGGGTTCTTACTGACAAACCATTAGTGCCCATCACAACAAAAGCCAGTCATGCACAACACTGTCACTTCAGACATTTACCAGATGCCCTTTACCCTTTCCAACAGGCACAATTCATTCCGGCGCCACCTGCCTCGTCAGATGAATGTCACAAGTGTCGACTTCAGCATGGATAAAGTGCCTCTTCGCCAGTCCTCAACTGTGAGCATTGGAAGAATAAAACCAGAACTCTACAAGCAGAAATCGGTGGACTCAGAGGATGGGCCCAAAGAGCCCGTGGAGACGTGCGGAAAGCTCAGCTTCTCGTTGCGCTACGACTACGAGGAGCAGTCGCTGGTGGTGACAATCCTCAAGGCCTTGGAGCTGCCTGCCAAAGACTTCACGGGCACCTCCGACCCTTACGTTAAGATCTACCTTCTACCGGAGAGGAAGAAGAAGTTCCAGACGCGCGTCCATCGCAAGAACCTGAACCCTACTTTCGACGAGAGCTTCTGTTTTCCTGTGTCTTACGATGAGATCTGCAACCGCAAGCTGCACTTCAGCGTCTACGACTTCGACCGCTTCACCAGCCACGATATGATTGGCGAAGTGGTGGTGGACAACCTCTTTGAACTCTCTGATCTTTCCAGGGAGGCTGTAGTGTGGAAGGATATTCATGCAGCAACTATGGTGAGTTGGCGTTCACTCCAACACACTGCCAAATCCTGACATATGGGGACACTTTTTTTCTATTTACGGAATAATTCCGATTTATTTTGCTATCACTGTGTAAATGGGAACTTATACTGTTATTACGAAGGTCTTAATATGAAGTATTGCGCTGATTCACTTCTAATACCCCAAATCCATCAACATTGTCGACAGAAATGGCAGGTGGAACACATTGGCTGATGAAAAGCATTTCCCACAGCATGAATTATGCAAACACCCACACACATTTCGCAACTGCTGGGTATTCCGTGGATATAAATATAGCAACAGGGAGTAAAATGATCCAATTGCAAGATGCATGAACTGCAGCAGTATTTTCTCAAGCTTAAAACTATTTACATCAACAAGGGTATTGCATTCTGTGGATAGCATCCTCTCATGCGAGGGGGTAATTTAGTCCAGAATAAATATCTCTCCCACATCAACACTTCATCACTGTTTACTCAAGAGCCTCGGCTTTATTTATGAATGTTTACATTGTCATAAACACTGAGCCACTGCCAGGTTCATAATAGCTTCTGTATACTATATTGAAAGCAAGATAATAACTATATATATAACAGACTGAGTAGAGATGATTCTATACATTCTCATGTTGTTTATTTACATTATATATTCTATAGTTGAGGTTATGGAAACACTGATATAGAAAGCTTACCCACAGGTGTTTTTATCTATATAAAAGAAAGCTGAATGAAGGTGTTGGTAGTGGGCATGGATTTTTTTTTTTTTTACAGTTTAAACATTTGCAGGATATTTAAAATAGATGCTGATGGATTTCAGCGATATTTGGTGTCGAGTTAAGTAATTTGTTGCGATAAAATATAAATATGATAGTCTTTGGTGAAGCACTGGACTTTGTGTACTGAATGAGAACAAGAATAATGAAGAATGTGTTTTTTATATTGACTAGGGAGGATGAACATTTGGGTTTATTCTAGGTCTTAATCATTTCCAGATAAACATATATTCATTCCTGATTGCTCTGCTGGTTTTAAGTATTTAAACTAGCCAACAGAGTATCATTTGCAAAGTTTTGGACAAATACAAATGTTTACCTGATGATGGCGCTGGCTTAAAAGTCAGGAGATGACCAGAGATAACCTTAAAAATGGCAACCCCATGGTGGTGCTAGAGGAAAGTACTGGGTCTTTATCAAAGAACAGAGTATTCATCATCTTGTGGCCACAAATGTCCGTCTGTTTGGTCCAAAGTAGTGAGTCCTCTGACATTGCCACCTTTAGAGACAGCCGTGGCGAAAAACCCAAATAGCTAATTTCACATTAGAAACTAGCGACTAACAGCACACAAGAAACTGCAATTTGCAGCCCGTCATGCCGGTAAATGTTAAGTACCAGCTATCAAAATGATTCCTCCCTATTTGCTGACCTGTTTTCACAGAAGGGGATCATTTAAAATGCATTTATTTTTGTTTTGTCCTCCAGGAGAGTGTTGACCTGGGTGAGATTATGTACTCGCTGTGCTACCTCCCCACAGCAGGCAGAATGACCCTAACTGTCATCAAATGCAGAAACCTCAAAGCCATGGACATCACAGGCTCGTCAGGTAACCCCACAGCGAATTAGACAGGCCTCACATGAAAAGAACATAAAGAAATCTTACTTTGCTGAACAGAGACAGCAGGTAGCCACTTAGAAATAATCATTTGGAGGAGAAAGAAATAATTGTATTATAATTTGTCAGGGAAGGCTGTACTTTAAATGTTGAAACTGATATGAAAGGCACGGTGCATGGAACATTCAGCATTATTTGTATTGTATGTTTTTGATGTTATCATCACATGACAGTAAATATGTCTTCCAGACCCTTATGTGAAGGTCTACCTGATATGTGATGGACGGAGGTTAAAAAAGCGAAAAACAACCACCAAGAAAAGCACGCTCAATCCTGTCTACAACGAGGCCATCATCTTCGACATTCCCCCGGAGAACGTGGAACAAGTCAGTCTGTCCATCATGGTGATGGATTATGATCGGTGAGTGGAACAGTCACTACATGTTGTCAACATCTGTAGTACATGCTAATGTGTCTGTAGTCGTATATACGTATATCTACATGCAAATGTGAGAATAATTATGATTTTTGGACTGGTTTTAGAAGGCAAAACAAGACAGACATTCGTCCAAACTATGCACAAAATCCTTAAAATCAACAGGCAACAAAACCATGGACATCCTATAAAACAAAAAACAGAAATGAACTTCAAAATCTTGTCATAGTATCTTCCTTTTCTTAACAATCTATATTTCCTGGAAGCATTCACAAGAACAATAAAAAGAGCTAAAATATAGGCACCAACAACACAAAAAAGCGTGAATTCTCAATAGCAGCGATGCATGATGTTCATGCATTTACACACACACACACACACACACACACACACACACACACACACACACACACACACACACACACACACACACACACACACACACACACACACACACACACACACACACACCACACACACACCACACACACACACACACACACACACACACACACACACACACACACACACACACACACACACACACACACACACACACACACACAACCTTGACATCCATGTTAGCCTCCTCGGGGGGGACAAATGTGGATTGAGTGGGAAAAGTGTTTGTTGCTGTATAGAGCATTGTACCAAACCCAGTTGGAGAGTAACCGCCCACAACCTGTCTGCCATTTGAATTTGTCATCCTAACTACCAGTTAACAAAGTTCTGACATTTAAAATCTCCTCTGAAGTTTGACTGCCTGTTGTTAAGCAGAAGGTTTGTTCAAATGAAGGTCCTTAAATGAGCTTCTGGCTATGCTGCCCAAACTTGAAGAACTTCCGACTCTTAGCGATTCATTTATTTAATCTAAGACAGGTTAAAAATGCATTTTCTTTTAAAAATTGTACTAATTTTCAAGATTCAAGGCTTTTATTGTCATTTCTGCATAGCTACACTGTAGTTATGACAATGAAAATCTTAGGTCACAGGCTCCTCCAATTTTCAAGATTGATATAGGTATGAGTTTTACAATGTGGATCAAAATGTGTGTTAATGTGTGTGTTTCACTGCTAACAGGGTCGGACGCAATGAAGTGATTGGTGTGTGTCACTCCGGGCCAGAAGCAGAGGGTCTTGGACGAGATCACTGGAACGAAATGTTGGCTTACCCGCGGAAGCCCATCACACACTGGCACGCTCTGGGAGAGGTACACACACTTCTTTTTATCCCCGACTCCATTTTCCCTCAATCTCAGATCATTCTTATATACAGAGCTTTATAGAAGCTCCTGAATATGACACGGGAAGATTATGCAATGCAAGGAAACAAAACATCAAATTAATCAAACTTCCTCCTCCATTCCCATTGGAGAATACATTACATTTTTCTTTGATGTTCTTATTTAAAAACACTAATCTCCCCAATGTGCCTGTATTTGTTTTGTAGAACAAATCTGAGGAAAGATTACTGGAATAACTCAGATATTGAAGTGATGAACAACAACAAAAATAGTAAAAATGCCCTATACTGTACAAAAATTGTTTCACTCTTACCTTTAAGTAAAAAAAAAAACCTCAAATGTAAAGAGACCCTGGCCGATGTTCAACATAATCAGCAGCAGATGTTTTTCTCTTGACTGCTGCATCCTTGAGGTATTTTGAACAGTAAAAAAAACAGTAATAAGATACCATGTGTATATACTGTAAGACAGCCTATCCCTCCCCCCTTCAAGTGCAATTTCATATTTTAAATGTTATCAATGTCTCTTCCTCTTATGCCACACCCACTCACCATCTGACGAATAGGAAGACACAGGTGACTACCCATTTTCAGTGGTAAATCTACTTTAAAAGCTTTCGTAGAAAAACTGTGATCATAAGCAAAAACCATATCCTCTGTGGCTCTTGTTAAACATTGATCTGTAAAAAGCACTCGTGAGGAGACGGGCAGCCTTAACTTAGGTTATATTGATTATCGATATACAGTATCTTTTCTTGTGAACAATAAAATAGGATTTTACTGGTTTAACAGGTGTCTAACATTTAGGATTGTGAAGGTGAAAATCCCACTTGTGGATCAGTTGAGTTATATTTCTATTTTTATCGTTTATCCCCACTGTGCTGGAATCTTTTGTGAAAGCCTTAAATCCAAGATCACAGCTGCTGTTCTCTAGCATTACATATTGTATCCTCGATATTCAATGCATGTCTTTAGAAAATTCAACTCTTCCCCTCCTTTGGCCAATTTTCTTAATATTAACAAAATACACAAAAACGGTATCTTGCCACAGCTGATGTCAAAGTTGTTGCCAGTGTTCAAATAACTATTCATATCCTTTATTCAATTAAAAGTGCTTTTACCTTGATGTCAAAACATATTTAGTATATATGTACTTAACTAATAGTCAAAGTAAAAGCACTTGTTCTGCAGAAGAATGCCACCCATATTTGATTTGTTTTTCATAAGGTTGTGAAAGTGTTGCATGAAGAAGCATTTTTCTGATTTAGATAATGTTCTGATTATTAATGTAAATGACCTAAAACACCTGTTGTAAGTGAAATGATGTGAAATATTGGATAATCTTATTTTACCTCTAACAGTTCTTCCATTAGTTTATTCTTCAGTTAGTCAAATGTGTTAATGCATTTTAATTTGATAAATGAGAGTAGAAGTAGCATTACCTCAAAAGGTAACTTAATTTCGGCACTTGAGAAAATGTACTTACAGTTACTTTCCACCACTGGTTGTTGCATACCTCCACTTAAGGACAACATGCATTGATAAGCTGCTTAATTAGCTGCAGATACACTATTACAAAAAGTACACAGGCACACAAAAGAAGAAATGGTCAACACTGCAGTAGTAAGTAATAGTACGTTTACGTTTTTTTGCATATGATCACAGTACATCCTGATGAGGGAACTTACCTGTTTATTTAACACATATTGATGAAAGAAAGCCTCTATATACGTGTTGTGATATCTTACCTTGCAGTGGCCTGGAAGAGCAGCAAGCTTTGAGAGTCAAGGTTCGTGTCCTTCTCCCAAACCTCCGCAGACACCCTGACGATCGCAGGTAGAGTGGAAACACACCAGCCCTGTGAGGAAGCAGGCAGTCGCTAAGAAGTTGTGTAGCTTATGAGTCTCTTGTGAGCATGTTGTATGACAATTCATTCTGACGCCTTTCTTGTATGTTTATGAAAAACAAGTATTGAAATTGAACTCGGGTCCTTCACATGCTCTCTGAGCTGGCTATGCACAGCACTCACTCTCATGCAGTTTAATATTTTGTTTTTCATACACCTGCTTTGAAATTCTCATCAAGGCTTAACTAGCCAAAAATGTTCATAGACCTCATGAATGGTAGGCCCCCCTGCAAGAAATCATTGGTGATTAACTTGCAACCTTTTCTTAAACTTTTTTTCTGGCTCTAGAGCTCTATAGGGACTTAGCATTTTGCTTTGAAAATGGCACAAAGTTAAAGGGCTACCCTCCTCAATAATGCCATTAAAACATAGATAGAACACAGTCAATAAATCCAGTGCGTCTTGATTCAGGTTTTGGCTGAAGAATGAATGTGACTGAGGGTAGTTTTCATCCTAGAAGACTTTTTCTCTTGTTAAGTTGGAAATACAATTGATAACGCTTACATCTAACCTCTGTCTTGCTAATCCAAGGACAGGTATATGAGCCAAGTAACATGATGAAATAGTCATGTCTTACATTTTCCTTATTATTATTGCTAGCTCTACACTGACATACAAGAACAATGTCTCTTTCATGGTATGGGTGCTGACTTTTTCTGCCTAGGATAGCTACTTAAGCCTCAGCCTTTTAGCATGATATCAAGTACTGTATGTGGTCATCTGGTTTTTGGTTTGAAACAGACGTATTAAAAGCCAACCAGCGACAGTGGCTGCGGTCTTTATTGCTCAGGCAGTTTGAAGTCACCAAAAAGTATTAATGAAAAGACTATTTGACCGCAGCCAGCATTCAACAAACTCATGAAGCTAACGTTAGCTTGATTATTTAGCTAGCAGATCAAATCTGCTAGCTAAAGAAATCATACCCAAATTATTGGCTGTTTTGTCAACCTCTGACTACATTAGAGGGCCCATTGTGAGGAAGAAACAGCCGCAAATCTGCCTCCATTTGTCATTGTTCACTGCAGGATATGCTCTCTGAAAATGGAAAGCTTAACACGCAACGGTAGCAAAAGAGAGTGTAGCTAAGCTAACAATAAGCCAAACAACACCAAAAAAGCAAAGTAGAGTAACACTGATAGTTATCAAATTACTATTTCAAAACTAGTAAGAACAAGAATCCACAATTATATTTACAACAACTGTTCACGAGGTACCAATTCAGGGATTATAATCCATAAAACATTTGAAAATATTATACATGTTTTTTCCATTAAGCCAGAATTGAACTTCACAGACACTGATTCAGTTTCTCCTTACATGTGACTCATAATAATAATATATTACTAAGAAACCAACATAGCAAATGTACTGTTACAGTACCTTACTTGCACATGCATATGATGATGCTTTTCCCCCCACGCTGCCCTAAATATTTAAAAGAAATATTGTTACTTGTAGCATGCCTCACACCTCTTTAAAAACAAAATGAGGGAAAATAAAAGAAATAAGTAAGAGTATTTCAAAACTTTGTGTTTACATCTGTATATATTCTTGTCAATGGCACTGTTTGTACATATTCAAAAGTGAAATATAAGAAGTTGTTGTGAACTTATGGAGGTAGACATCACAATGTATTTCTATTGTTTGGTGATAATTTGAGAAGCTCAGACTTATTGAGTAAGATTTATACACGTTGTGCAATAGTTGTGAACAATTAGTTAAACAGGAGACCCAGTGAAGCCAACTCTATCTTATCAACTTATTCCATGTTTAGAGCTTTGAGCTGTGATTGTTTGCATATTGGTTTTATTATATATTATATCTAATAATATATAACTATATTGAGCCAGAACAACTGCAACTGCTGTCATGATGTGTACAGTTTGTAATAACTTTTGTAACACTTCAAAGTAAACATTTGGAATATGATTTATTGTATCTGTTTCATATGTATTTTAACAAAATAAAAAATAAATGAAGAGTCCCAGCATGTGTCTTTTTGTGTCTCGGTAGACTGAATTCATATTTTGAGTGCTTGTTTTCCTCACAAGCTTATTTCTAATACGTTTCTCTTACTTGTTAGGTTTATTTTATCTGTCATTTTTACAAACTTTGTTCATTTGGGTTTTATGGGGGGCAAATTCCAAGTTACACACATATCTACCACTCCACTTGTAACAGTCAAATTTAAATACCTGGCCTTTTTAACAAGTTACAAACTGAATCCAACAACAAGGTGAAAATGATTCAGTCTATAATTGATTATTATACATATTAGGTTGTTCTTTGCTGGATAGAAAGCAGTGTTGTCTGAATTTGAAAATGAAGAATGACAGACAAGAGCCATCTTACATTGTAGTGCTGAACAGCAGGAAAATAATAAACATTTCTTGTTGGATTTCCCCAATAAAGTGTAGCGTTTCATAGTCTTTTTCTGTATATATTTTATAAATGTATTATATATTTATTTATATAGCATATTTCGAGGCAATCAGATGCTCCTCTTAGTGCTTTACAAGTCACCGACATAAATTAGGATGCTAAAAGTAGGAACATTTTCATAAAAAAACATAATGATCAACACAAAAATTTGAAGATAATATTAATTTATTACCTTATAAACCAATATAAAATAAATAAGAAAACTGCCCTTTCTCCAAACACTTCTCACATATCATGCATGCGGCCTCCTTCACCCGCTGCTAACACTCAAGATTAAAAGCAATTAATAGATGTTGTATAACACCTCCTTTGAGCTACACAGGTCCCTGAGTTTGTGAAATGCTTTTAAGAAGCTCGTCAGATAGGTGGTACCTTCTTTTTCATCTTGCATCCGTTTGATATGACAAACATGAAGAGAATATTTTGATCTCTGGTGCAGTGTGACATGAAGAACAACCACTTCCTTTTGATCTGCGATATTGGACTGAAACAGACAAAAGGGTTCTGTTGCATTAGTCTCCCTGGCAATGAAAGCCGCCCACTCTCTGAACACTAAACCCATATTTAGAGTGGAGTTGTAGCTTTAGTTAGCAAGGGCTAATAGCTCCACGTGGTGATGCTTGTAATTAAAGCTTTGCCATTTCCTGAATGCTTGTTTGAGCTGGGTGTTTAACACCTCTGCTCCATGAAGGCTCAGAGGGAGATTGGACTGGTCTGAACAATGCATCTGAAGGATTACTCACAATTTGGGGGTCAATTATCCATCATAGTTTTTTAAACCGTCTACAGAGAGGATTTAAAATAAAGATGAGAGCCTCTTTCATATTCTACTCTTGTGTCTTATTTAGAATAAATTGTCACATTTAATTATGAATCAAAAATGTATCAAAGAGCCTCAGTAATGACCTTATTTGAATGTTATCAAGAAATATGGAGCAAGAAGTGTCTGTACATATCTGTCTGCTTTCATTTACCAAGAAAAAAAACCTCAGAGCGAACGATATCGCCATGCACAGACAGGTCTGCTTTATTATAGCTCAATTTTCCATGCCGTGTTAGGTACAAAAGGTTAAGGGTGAACTCATTAATACCGAGGTAGCAAGGGCTCGTTTTATTCTGGGAACTATTACGGTTAAAGGGGTAATGGGCAGGCAGTTATGTAACGCCACCAGCCATTACAGCCCAACCGTCATTTTCATGTCTCCATTAAAGAGAAAAAACTCATGGCTCTCAGGTACATTTTCAGAGCACAGTTGGATAACAGCATGAGAATACGATTATGGTTTCCAGGATACTGGACATGAGGATTGATAATTACATATAATTTAACCACAGTCAAGGAAGGCATGGTCTCACAATCTTTGTATGTAACTTATATAAATAGTATCAGTTATATCCTGCACAAAAGGTTATTTATTATATATATTTGAAATGGGCCACGATAAATACTTATATAAATTCTGAGTGCTTATTCGACCACTGAATATTATTCATTGTCCGTAGAGTGAAAGTAACACCCTCTGACATGCAGGAACATCTGCTGAGAGTCGGCAAAGCTTGATTTCTGTCTGCCAGCGTTTCAGAGGCTCGTCTAAATCCTGATCACTGATCCCACATTACCAGTCCTCTCCTGTCTCAGTACACAGGGGGGGGGGAGACAGAAGAAGAGTAGACGGGTTGAGTTTTGCCTGGAGTAAAAGGACCCAAGACTAAAACTTTTTTTTAAACGCTTGTATTTTAAGTGCATATGTTGTTTTAGTGGTGGCATGAAACAGACAGCAGAGTGATATTTGTTGCCGCATATTTACACGATTCCTGTAACAATGGGATGGACTTATCGTGTTTATTGATTGCCTTTATAGCCCATAGCGGGATTTAAATGAAAGTGCCGAAACAGACAAATCCTGATTTGCATCACGACATAAGTTTAAAAAAAAGGAGAATGACGGCGTCAACATTTCCTCAAACAGGTTCTTCCAGAGTTTCAAGGCCCTGATGGCAAAAGCTCTGCCTCCCTTTTCAGGGTCATACGTCTGAAAGAGATAGGACCACTGCTCAAGGATCTCAAACTATTCAAGCGTTCATAAGGGATTAAAAGTCCTAAAATATAATCTATGAAGAACTTCAAAAAGTTCCTCAATACGATCTTTAAAACAACCCTAAAACAATAAAAGGGAGCTAATGTAAAGAAGCTAAGACGCTAGCAGCTACCAGCACTGTTGTCCTGGACTTACGATTGCCTTCACCAAAGGATTCAAGAAACAGAGGAAGAAGAGGAAATAAAGGAAGAAGACGACCCTTGAGACATTGTTTTTGGAGCGAGACCATAGATTTGCTATCCGAGATGCAGGCTCATTGCTCTCCAGAAAATGATAAACTCCAATTTTGTAATTGTTGGGGCAGATACTAGCTAACAAGGGACAAGCAGCGTTGTACATATGTGATAAAATAACTCAAAGCATTTCAATTCATGGAAACCTTATATAACCTGTTGAAGCGTTTGAAAAAAATGCAGAAAAGGAAAGCCTCCAACGGTGTACTGTAACAAGCCTTTACCCTCACTAGCAGAGGAGATAAAAGGCAGTGAAGCCTGCTTTACGAAGACAGAGGAGGCTACATATTGATGTTAGAGACTATAAATAGATGTTTTACCCCGTGGGTAAGAACACAGGAA